TTTTCTTTGACTGATATATTGATTTCTTCTATCATATCTTCTATACCTGAGATTCTCTTTCATCTCCCATATTCTAGTGACGCTTATGTCTGTAGTTCCTGTTCTCTTTTCTAGGTTTTTCCATCTCCAGGATTGCCTCAGTTTGAGTTTTATTTATTGTTTCAACTTCCCTTTTCAGGTCTTGGACAGTTTTATTCATATCCTTCACCTGTTTGATTGTATTTTCTTGTATGTCTTTATATTTATTTGTTTCCTCTTTTAATGCCTCTACCTGTTTGAATGTATTTTCCTATATTTCTTTAAGGGATTTATTCATGTCCTCTTTAAAGACCTCTGTCATCTTTATAAGATTGGATTTAAGATCCTCCTCTTGTGCTTTAGTTTCGTTAGGATATCTAGGGTTTGTTGTAGTAGGATAGCTGGGCTTTGGTGGTATCATATTGCCTTGGGACTTGTCGATTGTGTTCTTAGGATAATCTTTTGGCATCTGGTTTTCCCTGGTGTTGGCTGGATGATCCTGATGGCAGCAGGTCTTCTCAGGAAGGTGCTGAGAGCTGTGGGCCAGACAATGGAGGTCAGAATACCCTACACTGTTGTCTGTGCCTCAGGCAGACACTACTCTTCTAGCTGTGTACCAGTCAGACCCAGCTTGGGTGGCAGGCAGATCTGACTAAGATCAGTGGTCAGGCAGGGTTCCAGGTTGGTTAGTTTTGGGGCCTCTGATAGGGGAGGCAGGATGCTCTTGTGGTCCCACAGGGTTCCTTCAGACCAAAGAGCAAGATCAAAGTTAGACAACGGGGCACAGGGGACCCTGTGCACACCACTCCCCTCTGCCATGTAGTTTTCTTTATTATCATATCTTTGTTGGGTTTGTGTTCTAGAGTAACATTGCATTGTAGAAAGAGATTGGAAGTGATACTTATGTTTCTATTTTCAAAAATAATTTAGGAAACGTTGTGGTAGAGCTTTGACAGTCTCCTACAATTCTGCTGTGAATTTATCTTGGCCTGGATTGTTTTTGTTGTTGTTGTTGTTTGTTTGTTTGTCTTTGTTTTTGTGAGAATATTTTTAAAACTTGTTATTACTGTCTCCATCTCCTTATATGTTATGAGTCTATTTAAGTTGTCTGTCTCTTCTTGGTCTCTTTGGTGGCTTGGGAGAATCTAAAAATTTGTCTTTTTTATTTTCTTAAATGATGAAGCATAAATCTTGAAGATATTCGTATATAGTCTTCTAAATCTCTTTGGTGTCTATTAAAGTGTTTCCTGTTCATATCTGGTTCTGTTGATTTGAGTTAGTTCCTTTCCTCCTGTTGATTGGGTCTCTTGTTCCTTATCTTCCCCAAAAACCTAAAATTTGTTGATTCTTTGTACCATTTTGCTTATTTCTTCTTTGATATCTGAAAATTTTAAATAAACCTTATTATAAAAAAAAACTTACAAAAAATTACACATCAAAGTTTACCAGACCCAATGTTAAGACAGCTCAGTGAATGGAAGCCGTGTAGCTTCTCAATAGTATTTATATTTTTACATGTTCACTACTTAATATATTTTATATACTTATCTACACTCAAAATAAAAAATCATGAAAGAAGCAGAATTAAAACAATTAACTTGATATCCTATTTTATAACTGGTGTGCATTACCTGCATTCAGTCCTTTCTCTTTTCCTAATATTTAGCCTTTCTTGTTCTCTTTTCTACATTTGCCTACATGCATGGATATATCATTGGTTAGGTTCCACATATGAGAGGGAATTTGCAGTTTTCCTGAGATTTTTGTAACCTCACTAAAGAGTATATATTGGAAGTCCACCCACTTTCCTTTAAATTTTATGATTACATTTCTTCAAAGCTGAAGAGTGTGTGTGTGTGTGTGTGTGTGTGTGTGTGTGTGTTCCAATATCCATTCCTTTATTGATGCACAATTAACTTTATCCCAATTCTTTGTTATAAATGAAATAACCAGAAATCTAGCAATAACCCATGGTGTGCAAATATCTCTGTAGTACAGTGTGAAGTTCTATGGCATATACTTGGGAGTAAAATATCTGGGTCATATGGTTTATTTTTCACTTTTTTGAGAAGTCTTCAAACTGATTTCCTCAATGGCTATAGTAATTTGTATCTCTGCCAATAGTGGATAAGGGTTCCTTTCTATCCACATCTTCTCCAACCAACATCTGTTGTCAGATTTGTTGATGACAGTCATTATGACTGGGGTGAGGTGGTATCTCAAAGTAGTTTTAATGTACATTTCTCTAATGGCCAGAGATATTGAATACTTTAATAAACAGTTGTTGGCCATTTGTGCCTCTTTTGTTGAAAAGTTCCTATTTAGTTCATTTGTCTATACATTGATTGGTAGTTTTGTTTTCTTAGTATTTAAATTATGCAGTTCTTTTTAAAATGTGGATCTTGGCTCCTTGTCTTCACTGTAGCTGGTGAAAGTCTTATTCCTTTATCTGGTTGTTTGCTCAGCTGATCGCTTCCTTTGCTGGATGAAACCTTGACCAGTCCCATCAGTTGACACTTGGGCTTGGCTCTCATTCTGTGAGTGTTCTATTCAACAAGTTCCCGTCTACCCCAGTATCTGTCTTGAATATATTTTCTTCTTGAAATATCAATTTCCAGTTTTAAATTAAGGTCTTTGATCTATTCTTAATTGATCTTTGTACAAGTTAAAAGATAAGAATCTAATTTAATTCTTCTACAGAGAGAAATCAAGTTTTGCCAGCACCACATATTGAATAGGCCACTGTTCTATCCTTACCTATTTATCCCCCTGTCTATTTTATGCCAGTTCTGGGCTGTCTTTATCACTATACCTCTATACTATAATTCGAGGTCAGATATTGCAATGCATTCAGTAGTGCTATTACTCCTTAGGATTGCTTAGGAAATCCATAGTTGTTTGTGGTTCCATATTAATTCCTTGCATTGTTTCTTTCTAAAACTGTGAACTATGACTCAGAATTTTGAAATGTATTATGTTAAGTCTGTAATTAATTTCTGTGGTGTAGCCACTTTAACAGAATTAATCCAACCAATCTAGGAGCATGGGATACTTTTCTATCGTCTAGTACCTTCTATGATTTTCTTTTTCAATATTTTACAGTTTTCACTGTAGAGATCTTTTTCTTCTTTATTTAAATATATTCCTAAGCACTAAATATTTTTTTGAGTTATTTTTGTATTTTCTTTTTAAAGCTTATTTCTTTTATTTTTGAGATCATAATATAATTTTATCATTTCCCCTTCCCTTTCCTCCCTCCAAACCCTCCCATATTTTATGCCTTCTTGGTCTCTCAAATTCATGACCTTTTTTTTCTCATTAATTACTGTTAAATGCTGTATTAGCTATGGATCTATAGAGAAATAGAATGTGTAGAATTAATACACACACACACACACACACACACACACACACACACACACACACACACGAATGGCTTGCAGACTATACTGTAGCTATTCCAACAATGGCTTTGCCAACAGAAGGTTTAAGAATCCAGTAGTTGGTCAGTCTACAAGGCTAGGTGTCTGCTTTATCTTCAGATTCTGATAATCTAGCTTCTATTTTGTCCATTCTACTTGTATGTTTTTGCCTGAGTTTTGGATTTGGGTTGTTGAGTTTTTTTGTTCCATCTTTTTCATTTAACATTTATATTTCTTTACTGAATTTAGTTTTCAATTCTGAATTTTCTGCTTTGTTTCATTCAGCTCTATATTTGTCTTTTCTTGAGCATCTTTCAGGCATTTATTGATATATCCTTTAAGTTTATTTGGCTGTTTATGTCTTCTTTAAAACTCCTTGAAGTTTTCAATGATGTTTATCATTTTTCTTTTACATTTTTTTCATGTGGTTCATCTGGGTGGCTATCAGTGAAAACAGTTTCTATAGGGACAGAGACTGTTGTTGGTATACTGTCTTGATGATTCATAGTTGTGTTTTTTCAATGCTACCTAGGCATGTGGATTTCTATCTTTGGTTGTGTGTCTGAACTATGATTCTTGGCTGCTTCATGCTGAGTTGGTGCGTGAACTGTGTGACGAACTGGATTTGTGTTCAGAGATGGGAGAGTTGGTCTTAGTCCTGCATAGACTTACTAAGAAGATCCACTGGGAAAGCTGTACTTCTGGAGCTAGAAGTGATCATATGGGGTTGAGGGTGAGGGAATTCCAAAGGATGACACTTGCTCTCAGAACTAGACCCAAGTGTAGGAATGTCACTTGCAGAGTTGTGGGGCTCTTCAGGGAAAACCAATTCATGAGCTCTGATGTTTACTTTTTTTAAGGTAATAACAACCCTTAGGTGGTCCTTTGATATTTTAATGTTACAGTTGACACTTGCAATGTGATTATCATGCTCCACACAGTCAATATCAGCTTTCTTACTTGTTAACCCTGAGAAATAAGATTCGGCCATTGCTAATTAGGAGTAAGATGCAGGAAAAGTTAAGTTGCTAGGGCCTCTGTGTGTGTGTGCGTGTGTGTGTGTGTGTGTGTGTGTGTGTGTGTGTGTGTGTGTGTATGTATGTGCTACAGATATAGTTTGAGTGGACACCAACGTTTATGCTGCCAAACTTTCTGTTTGGCATGCCTGTGGGCGTTAAGGAATCTCCCTTTAGTAGTGAAGGAAAGACAGAGTATAAGGTCAGAGGCCAGACCCTGAGACTAGACTACCTGGTTTGGAATTATTCTATGTCACTAATTGTGGATTTGGACTTGGTCTCCTATCCATTATTTGGTGAATCCAAGAAGAGCCTGAGAGCATGGTAGTGTTGCTATGGGTGCTTTCTGTGTGGTGTTGGTCTTCTGAGATGCACAGTCCCTTTGGTCTTATTGTTTGCTATCTGCTAGAAGCTTCAGAATCCTCTTATCAGAAGGAAATATTTAAGTCTCCATGAAAGAGGAAGTGATAGGACTTTACAAGATGGATTCCAGGCAATTGTCCACACTGGAAATTGATGTGATGTGCGGCTTCTCTTCTTGCAGGAAGGAAAGACTTCTCTCATCACCTTGAAGGCCCTCTGCATCGGTTTACACCTGGAGCAAGCATCCAATTGAAGTACACCTCCTCTGCCTTACCAACCCGTCAGGTTACTGTGACCTGGCTCAAAAACAACCACAGCCTTCTCCAGACCCAGACCAACGTCCTCTCCAGTGGAAAGACCTACAATGTGACTAGCACTGTTCTTGTCCCACTGGAGAATGATGACATATTATCTTTAGTTCTCTGCCTGGTTCAGCACAAGTCATTAGTGGTTTTCCAGAAAGTCATCTACTTGGGCCAGTACCTCTGTGGTAAGACTTTTCTCTTACTGGCTGAGGTAGGCTATGGGCTTCTCTTGGTGTTGGTTATTCACTGAGGAAATAGCCTTAGTTGGTAGTGACACTAGAAACAGAATCTGTAAAGTACTTAACACTATGTTCAGGCCAACTGTGCAGAGGAGACACTTGTTGTTATGACTATCTAGAGTAATACTCAGAACACATTTCCTTCATCTGAAAACCACAGACTATTTACTCTTTGGGATTTAATTTTAGTATGGCTAGTCTATAGAAAGAACACTTGAAGGGCTTTGCAAGCTTCTAAATTTTAGGGACTATGTCATCCTTGGATCCTTGCTCCTATCTGGATTTGAGTCTAAATTTTCCTTTTTTGTTATTGGATGTACTGATGCTTGGCACAACTGTAAAATCAGAGAAATCATGTCTCATGCCTAGGAATAAATTTAAAGGTCCAAGACTGACTAGTAATAAGATTAACTGCCTAAAGCATACAAGACTTTTAAGTGTTAAAAAATAGTTTCCCCTTCATTTTTCGAATTTGCACAATAGAAGAAATATGCTACCATCATGGGAACAAAGGTATCATCTTACATGGAGGAAAATGATAATCTCACTGTCTCCGGAAAGCATAGTTCACAGTTAATACGGCACAGTAGGGAGGGTCTGCCTTGCATGATTTGTACAGGTACCTTGTACTATTTGTCTTATTCTTAAAGGTAAGTGATTCAGACATGAAAGTACACAATACTGTAAACTGATGAGTGAGTGACCTTTGTCCAACTCTATATGTACCTAGCCAAGTTGCTTATGTTTTCAGCCTCAGTGTTTGGATATCATTTAGCAAAACAGTATCTTAGGGAGGTCTCTTACCTAAGTATTTTTTATATAATTCTCTGGAGTTAGGAAAACTGTGTGAGGAAGAAAAAAATCATAGGACATACAAATGTTCACAAATAAATTGATTACTTTATCAAATTAGGTGCTGTTCCAAACCTTTCCTTGCTCAGCACACGTATCCTCAGCTATGTTTTTTGCTGTAGAAACGTCTTCATTTGGTCTAAATGCAGGACTTCAGGGGTCAAAGCCTCAGTTCATTCAAGTTGCAATACAGAAGGACTTAACATTATCAACCCTAGACTAAGAGCTGAAATCTGTCAACTAAGTCACCAGAGAGCTGATTTGACTTTAGAAAATGTAATTTCAAAGTCTTAAAGAGTAAAAATAGCTGCATAAGGTCTAGTTGACTTTGATGTCAGTGTAGGGCCTATGAGGACAGTGGACCACGCCAGGAAACTTGGTAAGGTAGAGTGGGTCTGAGGCCCCGGTACACAGGTACCACTTGAGGCACTAGGTACCTCCCTGCTTCCTGATAGATTCTTGGTCTGGAACACATGTCCACGTTCCCCACGTAGGTCACAGCCCAGAACAGTGTTCTCCATGCTGAGGTATCTAGAAGCCTTGCGGTTTAGACAATAAACTTCCCTTCCCAGACATTCCTTCCTTTAAAAGGTATTTAATCTCTGGCCTCCCCTGAGAAGTTGGTATGCAACCATTTTCCATGATGAACAGTCAGTAAATGGTATGAATAAACATGGACTGTCTCTTCCATCGAAACCTCGAAGGGGAGGATGGAGAAGACCTTTACCTACAGAGCAACAGCCTAAGTCTCCCATAGAAGGCCTCTCTATGCTTCCAGACAACTGCTGTTAAGCTAAGGACAATCACCAATGAGCTAAGCTAGAGCTCCCTATTTCCCCAGCCCCAGGTTCGTTACCATCCTCAGCCCATGGGCCCCCAATGCTCCTGGCCTTGTCCCAGGTTTGGGAGTCAGGGAACTCCAACTTTGGCTTCCCACATCTTAGGCTGCATTCTCCCACCCTTTCAAATGGTCTCAGTGCTTCCCTAAAACTTAGCACCCAATAGCAGTGGCACAGGGTCAACGTAGTCAAGCATTTCACCATGTTCGGCAGGACAGAACTTGGACCCACAGACCCAGAACCTAGATCATTCAGTCTTGAGTTTTGGGTGATATTTCTACTATGCTCTGTTTCACATGAAAACTACTGTAAAGGATGATAGTGGGATTTCCAACCCTTCCCCCAATGTCTGCCATTATGAACACAATGCTTTGTATACTGACAACTCCAATTGAATCCCTTTTAGAAGCTATCAGACTCTAATATCAGAGGACTTATAGTATAGGTATGACTATTACATAGTGCCAAACATTCTGCTTCAGTTATAATCCCCAGATCTGCTACTTGAGACCTTGGGAAATTATTTAATCTCTCTAAAGTAAAGAGGTTTTTTTCTTCCTATATAAAAATCTTCATATCTTGGTCTCTAACACTTAGTGTCCATGAATCTTCACATTTTGGAATCATCTAATCATAAAGTAAACCAACAGATTTGTAGTTTGCTAAATGAATTTGATACCTCATTTTCTGTATCTCAAAATGAAAAGAAAAACCATTGGGAGGTCCCTTAGCAACCCATCTGTCTCCCATCTATCCAAAAGTGTGGTCTTGCAATTATTAACCAATTCCTAAATCCTTATTTGTGTCAAGCACTGGGTCGGACTCTCACAGATGATCTCCCCCTCGAGGAACTTCCAGTAGATTTCCTGCACTAATTATTGGCTTTATTTGGATTTTTGTCAGTTCCTCCGGTGGTGAGAGTGTCCCAATCTTCAACTGTCTCCGGTTTGGTGGATGTTACTTGCCATGTGCAGAGATTCTATCCACAGGATGTATATCTCACCTGGCTGGAAGACTGTCACGTGATCAGGAGAATGGAGCAACCTACACCTAAGAGGAATGAGGATGGGTCCTACACTCTGGAAATCCCGCAGCTGGTAAACACATCAGTGCAGAGATCTGGTCAAGTACTCACTTGCAAGGTAGAACATGAGGAACAGCCTCCCATCCAGGCCAGCATTATATTGTCTACAGCATCCTTTCCCACATCCAAAGCCATTAGGAGCCTAAGTAAGTTTGTCTCTTTTCTTGTGGGCATATGAGAGTCACCTTGGTTTCCTCGCTGCATTTCAGAAGACACTAGAGAGATAAGTTTCATAATAATGAAAGTCTTATCCAAATTAGGAGTCTGAGATTTCTTCCATAGGCAGAATGGTCCAGTCAGTAGCTTCCTTTAGAGTGACCACCCAGAATGGTTCTTCCATTTCTATTGGAAGAATGTTCTACCAGTTCATCCTCTTTGAAAATGCCCTAGAGAAAGTTTAGCTTAGTGTTGATCCACTAGTGACCATGAGAGTTTGTCACCAAGACCCTGGTTTAAAGTAGTCTCAGGTGTATGGGAGTAAGCTTGCATGTACACTGTCCTACAAGACTTACTTGAACAGCCATATCTGGGAACTGCCTTTATGCTCTCTCTCTGACGATAATTATTTGACTTCATTTTGAATGAACATATAATCCCCGCTCAACAGTTTCCTTACATGTAATAAACAGGTTGCTAATTTGTAGAACCCTTTTGAGAACTAAATGTTAATATACAATGAATGTATAACTGGTATATTATCTATACTAAATATCAGCTGTTAACATCATTTGTTTTTATGTAAAATTGTTTTCAAATTAATTTCCAAAAATTATAGTTGTGTAAATTTAGTCAACATTGTCAACTATCTCTCAGAGATCCCATTTCTTCATTTATAAGATGTTAATGATAAGACTAATGCTTAAAGATTACAATAAAAGTTATTTTAAGTGACCACTAGACCTTAGAGAGAACGCAATGACCGTATTCATGTTGGCATGTTGACTGATGACCGTCAGATTTTTAAACACTGTTTGCTGGGGGAAAATTCAAGGTTAGCTTCATAGGCCTCTTATTTCTGAGAGCTAAGTATAGAGAAATGGGCCCAAAGATGGGATCAGAATTGGGAACTACTTGGAACTCCCTGGCTACCAATCTCAGATTGATCATTTCAACTCACATTTCACTGTTTGTTGACCCCTTTGTTCTGTGTATTTTAGGTTCAGAGAAATCTATCCACATTTTTGTGGCTTTCCTTTTATGCCCCAAGATACTTCTGGTGATGAGTTTTCTAGTCATCTACATGTATAGGCGGTGGAGCCTGTAACAGGTGAGTTTGAAAATGGGCTTTTGTCCTTAGAGAGTGAGGTCACAGCCATGGTCATGGGTAGCAAAACAACTTCAGAGTAAACACATGGGATTCACAGGCATGCCTTCAAAGACTCCCACAAATGTTATCTACCTCAAGAGGAAATTGTGAATATTCTCATTTTCTCCAAATATCTTTTGGAATTCTTAGAGGCTCTCAACCCTGTGCATTGTGTGATATCGTGTAGTTGGAATTTTTTTATAGTTATGTTTTTTGTGATTCCAGATGTAGGAGCTGAAGGTGTGGGGATAGAATAATAGTCAAGATCTAAACTCCAAAGGGTCTGCCCACACATTGTTAAATTGTCCTATGATATCAACCAATCTAAAAGAATGGATATGCTAACTGGCGAGAAAAAATGAATGTGCATATGGAAGAGAGATTAGGTCCCAGAAAGAGGTGTGAGGTGGAATAAACAGAGGCTTCATTTCTGACGTTCCTTATGAATTCAGAAAAAGAGGAAAACTAGCAACTTAGTAAACATTCAATAAGTACTAGTGGAATTAATATACAAATGAAGAAACAAATGAGTAAATGATGTTTCCTACTTCTGTATGACCTGTATTACCTCCTACCCTCTCTAAGGAGCTCAAGTGGAGCGAAGATGCAAGGACCTGCTGTTGATCCAAAACTCCCGCTCTTCCCTCATCCACCTCCACCACAGATGTGCTCCCCCTGCACACTGTCAGACATAGACTTGGATTGTTTAGGGATGTTTCAGACTCAAGATACTGAATTTCAAATGAGCTCTTCTTACATCCAAAAGACAATTTGGTGATGAGGAAGACAGATGTTCATTCTGTCTCTGGTCATGGTCAATCCTTAATTTTCCAGGTCTCACTATCAACTAGAATTTCTGTAAGCATGATTTAATTTTAGTAGACACAAAACTTAAAATTACTGGACTGTTGAAAAAGACTTTTCCTATCTCGAAATGGGATTAAAAACAGTATAAAATATCTCTGGATTCACTATAACATCTTGTAAAATATTAACATTTTGTCCATATCTTCTTTAAGTTTCTTTTTTATACTATGCTGAATTTGCTGGATTTCTTTCTCAATCATGTCTTTATACTGTTATGACATATGCATAACCTTTAAGCAGCACATAGTGTTTTCTGTTTTTATTCTTTACACAATCTATGATACCGTATGTAACATTTTGAAACTTTATTTCATTTTTATACTTAATATACCTTGTGAATTTATTAATTTAAAGCATAACTATCTTACTCATTTTACACTGCCCTGTGGCTTTCTATTGTAACAATATACCATATTTTGTTAAACTATCTCACAATGAATTTTCAATGGTTTTGCTATTACAATGTTGTGACTTTTTTCCCTAATCTCTTTCAGTATATGAGAGAATCTTTCTTGCTTTTCAAGCAGGACACAAAGCTACAGTGTTGGTAACATTTATATGTTTTGTTACCTCAAAAATAAATTTTCAGTTTTTGAACATTATGTTCTCATTTGATTACACATGTACACACACACACACACATACACACACACACACATACACACACACACACATTTTCCTTCCTGATTATGGTGATGGTGTACTATAAAAGGCAGAGACCTTTTATTCCCACAAGGTTACGTTGACCAGTATACACTGATATTTGCTTTCCCCTTTACTACGTACTAAGTTTCTATAATCTGGAGATATACTGATAATTTATTCCATTAATCTACTTGTCTAACTCTGTCAAGATTATGCTGCCTTAGTAAGAATAGTTTTATAGATTTTGTTTTTTCTTCTAGAAAAGTTGTTCCACTTTTTCTCATTCAAAATTATTGTGTTTATCTCTTATTCTTGTACTTTATATTTTTTACAAAGTTATACGTTGCATGACTATTCTGGAAATGGTGGCATCAAACCTTCTCCTAAAATATCAGCAGAACCAGTATAGCTTAAATGTCATTATAAAATATTCTTTTCATATCAAATTATTTCAGTTCAAGGCCAACCTGGTCTACAGAGCCAGATCTAGGACATCCAGGGCTACTTAAAGAAACTCTGTTCAAACAAACAAAAAGGAGAGAGAGAGGTGGGGGAAGGAGAGAGAGAAAGGAAATGGACAAACATAAACCTAAACATGAATATTTTTAGCCGGGCAGTGGTGGTACATGGCTTTAATCCTAGCACTTGGGAGGCAGAAGCAGGCGGGTCTCTGTGAGTTCCAGGGCAGCTTGGTCTACAGGACAGGCAGAGACACACAGAGAAACCCTGTCTTGAAAAACAAACAAACAAAATTCTCAAAGTTGCTTTAATGCTAGGGTCAGTATTTGCCTAGGCACAGTTTTATGGTTGTTCCTGAGGCTAAGTTTAATTTTAGAGGTAGAATTCGGCTTAGGTTTATGGCCACTGTTTGCTTTTGTTTTGTATTAGGCTTAGAGTAATGGTCAGAGATATATTTTTATTAGGGTTAAGCTTAGGTCTACTGTTATTCATATTGCTATTGAAGGTTAGTGGTAGGGTTAGAGACAGAGTTGCCCTAAGGTTAATCTTAGAGCTTGGTTGGGGTGATTGGTATTGTTAGGGGTGGGGATGGGGCAGTGTCAGAGCTGTAATTAGAGGTAGATTTGGGGTTAGCCTTAGGATAGTGTTAGGATAAGTGTGGGAGCCAGGTTAGCCCTAGCCACAAGACTAATCTAGCACCAACTCTTACCCTAACCTTGGCTGCTTTCTTAACTCTATCCTTAACCTTTTCTTTAAACCCTAAGCCTAGCCTTAAATTTAACCGCAAACGAAGCTGCAACCCTAACCATAATTCTCTACATGGCTCCAATCCTGCCCATGATCTAATAATATATATAATCCTATATCCTTAATTATAGCCCCAAATCTTTCACTAAACAGTTCCCCAAACCTAGCCTTAAACATAAATCTAATCATAACTCTAAAATATAAAGCTAACACTAACCATTAGCTTTAATTACAATCTTTGATACCAAGACCTTATCTAAACTCAAGCCTAACCTAAACCCTCACCAGAGCTCCAACTCAAACACTAACCAGAGATACCACCTGCCTTGCCGTAGGAGAAACCCCCTGTGCACTGCAATAGGAGAAATCCCCCGTGCACTGCAGTAGGAGAAACCCCCTGTGTGCTGCAGTAGGAGAAACCCCCTGTGCGCTGCAGTAGGAGAAACCCCCTGTGCACTGCAGTAGGAGAAACCCCCGTGCACTGCAGTAGGAGAAACCCCCGTGCACTGCAGTAGGAGAAACCCACTGTGCACTGCAGTAGGAGAAACCCCTGTGCACTGCAGTAGGAGAAACCCCTGCACACTGCTGTACTGCAATCATGTACACTGCTGTACTACATCAGTATATCCATGTGTGCTGCTGTGCTACAACGTCTCCGTGTAGTGTTGTACCAGCACATTCTTGAACACTGCTGCATCAGATGATCTTTGTGTGTCATTTTACTGGTAAAAATGTCATGTGCTGCTGTACTAGGATTTCTGTGTCCTCTGAGTATAAACTGCTGTACCGGTCAACCATGTGTTGCACTGCTGTACCAGTCATCCATGTGTTGCACTGCTGTACCAGTCCATCCATGTGCACTGCTCTAATAGTGCATTCATGTGCAGTGGTGTGCTAGTGAATCTGCATGCCCTGATGTCTGTTACACACTTCTGTGGAGCTATGCCAGCAAAGCTGTTCACAGCACTGCATTAGATCTGAGTGTCCCCTTCTTTCTTAATCTCTTTTTTCCTTTCTTATTTTACCTTCCTTTTAGACATCTTTCTTTCTTTATTTTTTCTGTTTTCCTAATTTCTTCCTTCCCCTTTCCCCTCCAAACACTCCCATATTTTTTCAACCTGCTTTTAAAAAATATTTCATCCTTTTCTTTCTTCCACTCTTCCTGATTTTTCTTTCAGAGTTCTTTACTTTTTCATTTTTTCTTCCTTCCTTTCTTTGTTTCTTTCCATCATCCTGTTTTCTTATGTTTCTCACATTTTTATCTTCCATTTGTCCTTTATTCCTCTTTTTGTCTTTTGTTTTTTATCATTTCCACTCATTTGCTCTTTCTTTCATCTTTATGTTTTCTTTCTTTCATTCTGTTTTTCTCATGTTGGCTTTGTTTTTTCTTTCTTTCTTTTCTACTGTCTCTCTCATTTTTCCTTTCTATCCTTTCTTTCATTTCTCCTTTTTTCTTTTCTTTTTTTTAGGGGAAAACTTTTTTTAAATTTTTTTTTTAATAATTTATTTTTTCTCAAATCGTAATTCATTCACACAGGGGTTATAAACACAGAAAGGCAGGATGTGGGGAAGGGAATGACACTGGAGTGTGGGTGTTCAGGGGGAATACAGATATCTTCAGAACCGGGTATCGGCTGGGTGAAGGTTCGGGGACAAGTCACTATGACTCTGCCTATGACTCGCTTGTCCTTATCTAAGTTGGTATTGTCTGCCAAGGCTACCTATTTACAAGGTCTATGACTACTCAGGCTTGTAAATTTCCACAAAAGCTGCCTGTTTACATTAGCTTATAGCCATCTGTTTCAATGTTTTTCCACTGAGACCCAAGACTTGGTGTTAGTATACATGTATGGCAGGCCTATTGCTGATTTTAGGCCTATGGCTGATTTTAGGCCTTCAGTGTGTAAGCAAGGCTGCCCCTGACATCTCCTCCCTTCTCTAAGTATAGAAGGGCTGTGGCAATTCTAAACTTGCGAAGGCAGGGATAGAGGCCTGACCTCCAATATTTGAAGGGGACCTTGTAATGGCTCCAGTCCTCCTGTCATTATCCAGTGAGGCATGAGGGCCATACCCGTCCCGATGTCTTTTTCCTGGAGAGGGGATACTTTTGACATCAACCCCTATGCAGTCAGGCTTGTCCCTCAGGGAACCCAGATAGATATTTTTATCTTTTATTTATATTCCCTTGCAGTGCTTGGCCTAGCAGCCTAAGCAAGAATTTAGATCTCCTGTCAGAGGGGGTT